TTTCATATATATATATATATATATATATATATATATATATATATATTGGAGTACTTTAAAGTTACTTTATCAAACAAGCTTTTACTATTTAAATATCCGAAGCACGACTTATTTGAAAATAACTTTTTCTCAAACTCATTTTCAACTACAAATTTTTTCAATGAAATAAGTTTGCAAGTGAACCCATAACTTTTTTACATTTTTAACTACATATTCGCTTTAAAAAAAAAAAAAAAATCACTTCAAATAATCTCTATCAAGCAAACACTTGAGAATTGTTTGTCTATCATTTTTTCACATTCTACAACATTGTTTTTCTATAGTACTCATTTTTAACTACACATTCTTTATTAAAATAATATTACACGTAAATAAAAAAAATTCTTCTTTTTTAACCACATATTTCAACATCAATCACTATTTTATAATACATTACTCACAAATAATAGGGTACAAACACCTCCTTAATTTTCCTTTTTTTTTTTCAACATATTATAAAGACGGTGAAAATCTTTATATATCTTCGGTCACATGCATAAAGTTATAAATTCCTCTTTCAAGAATGTCATCTCAGTCCCTAGAAAACGACCTTTCTTGGCGCAATTATTACAAAAAAAAGCAGTCTCAATTTTTTCTTGGTCTAAGTAATTTGTGCACATTTCAAATGTTATTTCCATTATTCATCTGTATATAGCCGAGCACCCAAGTGGCTGTGACTAGTTGTTGCGCATTAATTGGCGTGATCAAGACTTATGTGATCTAAGATGTTCCGTGACACTATTCCCACCAGTAGAAAACAAAAGCTATTGTAGAGAATCTCGAACTTCCTTCGATCTTGAAATGTGACAAACTACTAACCCTAGAAACGACAATAGTGATAGATACACAAGATCCCACCTACCTAACTTTGTTAAAAACCATCCTAAATACAACGCTAAGGCTATGTGTGAAAGGTATGTAAAATCTAAGAACTTACCAACACTATATGTTAAATTCATTTCTTGTGCAAATGAGTCATAATTGAAGTATTGGATTGTTTGGCCATCTCCTTATGATGGGAAAACCATCTCACTCTATTGTGATTTATAAAAGCTACAAGATTTTGAGTCATACTGCACACATAAATGCAGATAATTTAGGTAGGGTATATAGTGTCCATTGTGAATTATGTAATATGCATATATTTTTGCAAAGTTACAAAATAAATGATTAAAATCATCAAAGACGATAAAAATGTTATACAAAATAGTCACTTGATCACTGAGACTAGAGATCATGGCTGATTTTAGTTCAAAGATTGCGAGAAGAAATTTTTCATACCATAAAATAAAACAGCAATGTGACTCAATTTTTTAGGAGATTAAACCGGTAAGCAACATACGTTGTTACATTTCCATTCAACAACGTAATAGTTTATGTACTCATTAACGTGACAAGCTTCTAAATGTGTTAAAACCGGATTGGTTCGCTAATATTGAAAAAAAAAAAATCAATTTTAAGTCTGTTAAAACTATAGGTAAAAAAAATATAATCAGAATTCCTGGATTCATTTTTCAGTAAATTTGAATGGCATGTCCTTTTCTCTACAGTCCCCACAGTTGGACAATTACTCTACTCTACTCTCAAGGAGACCCGACTCTACTCTCAAGGAGACCCCCACTCCACGCCCAAGTTTCGCAACATTATGAGAGGGAAATTTTGCACCAATTTTTTTCTTACATTTTTTTTTTTTTTTTAAATTGATGCTCGAATATTAATTTGACCCCCACTCCACCCCCGAGTTTCCAAACATTATAAGAAGGAAATTTTGCACCAATTTTTTTTGCAAAATTGATGCTCGAATAGTAAGTTGACCCCAGCTCAACCCCGAAGTTTCCTAACATTATAAGGAAATTTTGCACCAGGTTTTTTTTTTTTTTAAATTGATGCTCCAATGGTAAGTTGATCATCAATCCTTTGTTATAGGTGTACAGTCAATTTCTTACAACGAAAATTATCTAAAATATGTTAAATTGTCACATGATAGTTATATTTTATCTTTAGTAAAATAGGTTTTGTTTCTCGACTTGGACTAGTGCTTAAAAATTTTGAAATGAGGCATGTTTTAATAAAGTCAAATGATGAAGACCATAACGATATCATCGTACATTCATAAATAAAATTAAAAATTAGAAAGTAACTTGTTGCTCGAACAATAAATTAAAGAAAACTCAACTGTGCAATTTTTCGTTAAAGAGAAATTATTCATTCCCTTTTCTTTGATTTTCTTGCCCAACTTTTCCTTCTATAAATCAGCCTCCCCCACAACCTCATAAACCTCTTCCTTGTCTCCTCTTTCTCCCCTATAGATTATAGGTTTTCTTCTGTTTTTTCTTCACATTTCTTGTTTCTTGAGTAGATTATGCAAATTTGGAACTGAGCGTTTGATTATTCAAAAACTCATTTGTTAAATAATCACAACTCTATCTGTTTCGCCATCAAAAATTCAAAATGTCCTAAAAGTCAGATGCTGCATATTTTGTTCTTGATGTTATGTCTCATGTGCTCATTGAGATTTTCTGTTTAGGGTTTATGATAAATTCCTCCCTCACACGCAGGACCCATCTTGGTCAATCTTTCTCTGTAGTCTAATCTTCCTCTATTGGTTCTACGTGTTTCCCTAAGTAACCTTTTTATGATAAGAATTTGTAATCGTTAGCATACTAGCACCAGGGTCCTGAATATTTTTTGGAGGGTCGATATTGTGTATACTAGACGCGTAAGACCATGCAAACTTGAAAGCATTTTTGCAGCCACAAAGCGTACATAGCTCTCACATATCAGTATAAATTTGTCTTTTTTTTGCTTGTTTTCGTATTTTATTGTTGTTCATAATCTGGGAAGTTTCGTGTGAAGTTATAAATGGATGCTTCCAGTGGAAATTCCTCTGGAACTGCACAGATTCAGAACTCTCATTCTGAAGACAAATTGCAGGATTTGATGGATCAAAGAAAGAGGACGAGAATGCAATCAAATAGGGAATCAGCAAGGCGATCAAGGATGAAAAAACAGAAGCGTTTGGATGATCTTTCGGCCCAAATTGCTCAACTGAGGAACAAAAACAGCCACATCTTAACAAGCTTAAATCTCACCACACAGGATTGTATGAAAATGGAGGCTGAAAATTTAGTCCTTAAGGCTCAGTTTGTGGAACTTAGCGAAAGACTGCAGTCCCTAAATGAAATCCTTAATTACATCAAATCAAACAGCAATCGCATGTTTGAGGATTTCCAGGGCTGTCCTGAAAGTTTAATGTACTTTTGCCAATAGCCCATCATTGCCTCTGCTGATATGTTCTATTATTGACTGTTGTCTTTAAGTAGACTGTAAAGTACAGGACAAAATTATAGTGTACTGTTCAGTCCTACGTACTTAAAAAAAAAAAAAAATAATAAAAAAATATTAATGTCTTTTCATGTGGTTTGTGTGGAGCATATATTCAATCAGGTTCGAAGTAAGGTCCCCACCAAGATATACACACACGGTAGGCTCGTCGTAGTTTTTTTTTTTTTTTTTTTTATATGTGGGGCCCACCTGCTACAGTGAGGGACCTGACAAGTCTCTGTGAAATTAATCCATGTATTCTAATTAATTCGCGTATATTTGTGGGTGAATTGTACTGTTAAATTCTATCAAGTACTATGTAACAAATTATTTGTCAATTGTTTTTTCTAATATTATGTGTGTAGAATATCAAACGTCACGAGTTTAACAAAACTATTGTTACTATTTTTAGTATAGGATTAGGGGCAGACCTTGGGGGTTCTATAGGGGCAATTGCCCCCCCCCCCCCCCAAAAAAATTTTTGGGGGAAAAAAATTCTTCCTTTTTTTTCTGAATGTCAAAGTTTAAAATTTACACTATTAATATATAATGCAATCAGCAGCTTCAAATTTAGTTTTGTGTCTTTGTCTCTCTCTCCCGATTTGTCAACTGCGGACTGTCATTACCATTTACGATTTACCCACCGTTAAAAAGTTTGATTGTGATCCCCCAACCTAAGGTGTATGGATCCGCCCCTGTATAGGATGATGAAAATATTTGTGCTGCCACCAATTAAGATAAGGGAAAAAAATTCATATATAAGAGATAAAGTATGCTTCATTTCAAAACTAAGAAATAAATTTTAAAACTTCAAAAATCGGATATTAATTAAATCTTATTTATGAAATAATTAATTAAAAATTATTTTATTAATTAAATATATTAAGGTCACAAATCTATACTATTTGGTCATAAATTACTTCTCAGTCACAAATCACAAATCACAAATTTTATAAGTCAAAACTTATCAAATTAATAAGTCACGAGTTATTTTTCAGTCACAACTTAAAAAATTATGAATTTCGATGACATTTTTTTATGTAGCACATGTTAATTATTGGTTATAATAAACTAAATAATTGATCACAAACCATCGTACCAATCCTAACTACCCACATCACCGCCACATCACTAGGCCACCACGGCCAATATTACAGCCCCACCACATAAACATCACCAAAAAAATCAAATCCAAAATTATCACAACCACTGTTATGAGTACACCAACACCCTGCAGCTGCAGCAACCACCACAACCATCGTCGCTGCCACCATCTCATCATCACGGCCGCCACCACATCCCACCTTTATTACCTATACCAAAAATCACAACCACAGTCTCCTTTACATCAATCTCCACCACACCACAACCATCACTCTCACCAAAAAAATCCCCAAACCACTGCAACCTCCATGACCTCCACAAATCCACATCAAACCAACCATTGAACCTCCACAAATCTACCACACCACAACCACCACGATATTGCGACGATGCTCGCAGCAGCACCGCATGCAAACACAAAAAATCTCCAAAAGTGCGATACTGCATTCTTTGTGAATACGACTCCAAGAAGAAGAAGCAAAGGGACGAGCACCCTATGATGATGAATTAGTGTCATCATAGTCGAGCTGCTCAATCACATCCATTGAGCGCAGCTCTTCCGTCGAAGAGAGAGAGGGATTGTGGATTTTTTTAATTTTATAAATTTATTATTAATATTTAAAAAATGTATTATTATCTGATTTTTGAATTAAAAAAAAAACTACTTTAAATTTTAACTTTGAATTAGGAACTTGAAAATTAGGGATAATTGTAATTTCCATTTAAAAACGAGGTTTTCTAAATTGTCAAATATAAATTTAAGATGTACAAGTGTCCACATGCAGAGAGAGAGAGAGAGAGAGTCTTCATTGAAATGATATTAGGATAATCGAACTAAGACTAATTCAAAGTTCAAACTATACACTATTGAAGTAAACTTTTATCGAATCTTGATTTTTTATTTTTCTATTTTTTATTAAAAAAATTTGTTCGATACAAGGAAGCATTATTTATAGGGAAAATTGCAGCTAAGGTACCAAACCTTTCATTTATTAGCAGACTTTACCCAAACATTTAGTTTGTGCCACCGTGAGTACTAAATCTTTAAAAAATGTGCAGCTTAAGTCTAAATTGACAGTTTTCGTTAGTTTGATTCCAAAAATCATCAGTTGACCCCAAAAATTAAAAATTTAATAATTTGACCACATAAGACGGAAGTATTTTGAATAAAACACATTTTTCCTATTAAATCAAAAATTAAAAAAATAAAAATAAATAAAACCACAACCATCTCCTTCTTCCCCAAATCAAAACCACTCCACCCAATATTAACTGAATATTATCGAATTTAAAGTTTTATATACATATGAATTTATAGTACTGTAATGAAACGAAGCAACACCATAAATGTGATCCTCTTTATTTGCATTTGAATATGTATACATAAAACACGTTTTCCGTAGCGGACCTCTCACAAGACAACAGTGAAGGTAAGATTATCCGTTTATATGGGCAAAAATGAAGATAGAGTATCCATTTATATGGGCAGATCAATTGAAGTAGAAATATTCCATGGTTCCCGTGGGTTCCTAGAAGCTTAAGAAATACTTCTCCTTCAGACTTTCAAAAATGTCCTTTAGGCTAACCTCAGAAGGAGTGAAACTGATGCCCAGAATTTTTGCCTTCTCTTGGGACACCTGGTTAGATAGTGCGTAGACATTAAGCTGTTTTTCTGCGATACTGCAATTTAAACCAAGTTTTGATGTATGATTTGTTAAACATTCACTTTTTGCGAGGAACAGAAGAGTAAAAATGAATATATATATATATATATATATATATATCCCCAAATCAAAACCACTCCACCCAATATTAACTGAATATTATCGAATTTAAAGTTTCATATACATTTGAATTTATGGTACTGTAATGATACGAAGCAACACCATAAATGTGATCCTCTTTATTTGCATGTGAATATGTATACATATAACACGTTTTCTGTAGCGGACCTCTCACAAGACAACAGTGAAGGTAAGATTATCCGTTTATGTGGGCAAAAATGAAGATAGAGTATCCGTTCATATGGGCAGATCAATTGAAGTAGAAATATTCCATGGTTCTCATGGGGTCCTAGAAGCTTAAGAAATACTTCTCCTTCAGACTTTCAACAATGTCCTTTAGGCAAACCTCAGAAGGAGTGAAACTGATGTCCAGAATTTTTGCCTTCTCTTGGGACACTTGGTTAGGTAGTGCGCAGACATTAAGCTGTTTTTCTGCGATACTGCAATTTAAACCAAGTTTTGATGTATGATTTGTTAAACATTCAGTTTTTGCGAGGAACGGAAGAGTAAAAATGAATATATATATATAATTTGCAGAAATATGTAATATGTGCAAAATACTTGCATCCCGAGATGGTTGAGATGAGGATAAAGTTTCTGTAAAATAATGAAAACTTCTGAAGCTGAGATCGCTGAAGTGGTTTTGATTTTGGGGAAGAAGGAGATGGGTTGTGGTTTTATTTATTTTTAATTTTTTTAATTTTTGATTTAATATGGAGTTTTAAAATTCATCAAATTCTAGATTGAGAACACCCCTCTTAATAGGAAAAATGTGTTTCATCCAAAATACCCCTGTCTTATGTGGTCAAATTATTAAATTTTTAATTTTTGGGGTCAACTGACGATTTTTGGAGTTAAACTAACAGAAACTGTCAATTTAGACTTGAGCTGCACATTTTTTAAAGGTTTGGTACTCACGGTGGTACAAACTAAAGATTTGGGCAAAGTCTACTAATAAACGAAAGATTTGGTACCTTGGATGCAATTTTTCCTTATTTATATTTTATACTCATTTTATAACTTTAATGAGAGCGGCAACAAGTTTCCTTTGTCAAAGCCCAAGACTCTTTTGCAGTTCCATTTATCAGTGAGATAAGTGTGAAAATATCATCCACGAGACTCTAAAAGAAAGCAACGTATTCGAAGGAACATGGGTCGAATTAATTGTGTCAAGTGGGAAGAAGATTAGTCGTCTTGTGTCCAATATCACTCTTAATTAATGTTCAAGAATTTAATCCTCATCAATCCTCAAAAAAAAAAAAAAAAAAAACATTATAATTGAATTAGTTACAACAAATGTGGACAGACAGATATAGAGATAGATGATCTATAGATTTACATGATTTTGCAAGCTCAAATCACTCTACTCTTTTGAACAAAACATCATACTTCTCCAAGCTCAAGGTACTGTAAGCCTATAACATTTTTCTTGGCCTTTAGCAAAACCTCCTTCAAGACCAAGGAAATTCTTTGTGACATGTGTCGTTCAAGAAACATTTGTTTGACTCTTGTAGAACCCTGTTTCCCCATTTTCAGCCTCGTCTCGACATCTGTAGCTAGTCGAACAATGTTCTGTGCAAGTGGTGTTACGCCCTCTTTCCCGGCTGGATGCAACCACCCTGTGTTCCCATTTACAACTATCTCCGTAGTACCTCCAGCTGCAGTGCCCTGACATATATACAATGTTGAAGAAATAATTTAAATAAATAAGTTTGTGTCCCTCTATGGTATTTGAACAGATTCCTAAGTTTCTTGTAACAGTCGATTTTATGAAAAATTTCATGTTGGGCCTTTGAGGAAAAATGATTCTCCACCACATAGGAGGGGCGTTGAAGGCAGGGGCGGACCCACATGAGGTCATGTGAGGTCAAATGACCCCACAACTTTTTGGAATTAATTTTTTTTTTTTTTTTGGGCTGAAAACCAGAATCTCGCTACACTAACATAATAAGTGGTTCTACTATAAACAAAGAAGAGTAGAAAAGATTTAGTAATGAGCATATGGTCCAACATGATTAATCTTCAAGGGATATACTTGGTTCTCAAGCACAAATGACCTTGTCTCCAATATGTTCCATACTGTTCGCGAAATTGTTTATTCCGATTTTAAATCCACCGTAAGTGTACGGTTCGTTAACAAGTAGTAAAATGGACTATAAGTCCAAGTATCAATCCCACCAGGATTGAGTTAATTCGAATTAATCTAATACGATCTTAACCGAAACATGATAACCAAATTGCGATTTTGTACTTTAACTAACAAAATATAATCGTTGATGCAATTATGGATGAGGGATTATACTAAGTTCAAAATAACTTGGATGCAATTTAACTAGAATTTTATAGAATTAATGGATGTTCTAACACACTAGAATCACGAATCCCCAAACAATACCTGTTCAATTGTCAATTATGCATATTTAACACACAAT